ACCTATCTTGGAGTGTTTAAAGACTTGGCTAAGTAAGTGCTTCTCCATAAAAGACATTGGTGAAGTAGCCTACATCCTAAAGATAAAGATCTACAAAGATAGATCTTTAAGGCTACTAAGACTAAGCCAAAACTTGTACATCGACATGATATTCAAGCAATTTAGCTCAAAACAATCCAAGAGAAGATTGATACCTATGTTACATGGCAAACATCTCTCTAAGAAGATGTATTAACAAATGTAAGAGAAGAAGGAAAAGATGTGCAAGATCCCATAGGTAATAGGATCTATTATGTTTGATTTGCTTTTACAAAGTTTAAAGTCTCTTACACTTCGAGTTTGACTAGTAAACCTTGTACATGGAAAAAATGAGGAGCTACTAATGAGGGGTTACACAAATGCTAGCTTTTCAAGAGATAAAAATGATCTAAAGATTGTAAAATGTTTTTTATTTTTACCTTAATAGTGATGTATTAAGCTGATATATCTCAAAACAAGACATCATTGTAGGATTATATAGCAGAATCTAAGCATATCATAGTTTCCATGGTAGTTGAGGAAGCAGTTTGGATTCACAAGTTTATATCTAAGCTTGATATTTTGCTAGTATTCTTGATTACATCGTAGCCATAGCACTAGCCAAAAAACCACAATCACATATGTAGACACAGCATAAACTAACGAAAATATCACCTTCTGACAAGTTTTGCATAGAGAGGTGATGTTGCGATTAACTAAAGCCATAACTCAACAAAAGCCATAACTCAACAAAAGCATTTTATACATATCAAAGTTAGCAAGATCAAGTATGCTAATAGTTGGTAGTAGTGCAAGTGGGAGATTTTTAAAGTATACCCTACAAGCCCATTATTTTAGGAAGACAATCATACATACTTATGATCACATTTATTATATTTATAACATTCTTTCTTGAACATTAACTTTTATTTTTTTTATATACGTTAAATATGAATAAAGCCCTTAGAATGTTTGTTACATCAAAAGGTAATAACAACCATCGCTATTAGTGATAACCATATGATGTGATAATGACATTCTTAAATTGTCCATTGGTCGTTTATGTCATTGAAATGGAACATTAATGATGTAAAGACCATTATGTATGATACTTCGCTAGGTGACAAGACTTCTTATGAAGTCATGTATCACATGTGGGTGACTTAGAGTAAGTGAGTGCATTAGACTTACCCACTATGAGAAGACTACATGCACATGTCATTAGTAGTTTCTCAACTATGACTCGAGTGCAGGTGATCATTTTGACTTGAGATCATTATTATTCTATTAAGAACTCATGTACTTTAATACTATTAAAAACAACCACTACAAAGGGTTGAGAGTAATATAATTATTGGGTACATTACAAAATGCATGACAACAATGAATGAGTTAAGATAGGATTCATCCCTCATGAGTTAATGAGAGAAGATATTATTAGGCCGTTTAATTGAGATGAGACTACTTATTGTATGTGGCCACAACAAAAATGAAAGAGATCATTCATTGAGTTAGTCTATCTAGGGAATCAAAGAAATTACATCAAGCATTAAGGATGATGACACATAGCATGCATCCTGCTTGATGAAGATATTAGTGATAAAGGGATTAAATTATACAATTGTATTAGTCATAGGAAGGTTCATTGAAACCATTGACATTTCTATCACTTTGGGTGGTCATAATGTGTTGCTAAATACCACTCTTGGTCTATGAATGTTTCTCACTGTCATCATGATAGACACCTAGAGACACTCTTAGTACATTATGGGGATTAAGATTTCTATAAATCGAAGTTTATGGATACGAATTAATTTATGTGAATATATTATTTTCACATGTAAAATAAAATTAATTAAGTTTTGGTTTTATATTGGTAGAGAAAAAAAATTTAATTTAATTTAATTTAATTAATTCAAATTTAGATTTGTTCAAAATTAAGGATAAAAAAATCCAAAAGTGACAATTAAGTCCTTGGAGAACTTATAGGGCAAACTTTGACCCATATTGGACTCGATTTAAGCGGCATCAAGGGATTTGAGCCTTGGCCAAAATTATGAGTCCAATATGGATTAGGGTGTGTGGCAAGGAGGGAGAAACATTAGAGAAGGAAAGTTTCCTCCTTCTAGATTTTCTACTTTGACTAGAAGACCAAGTTTAGCAATTCTGATTGTATTAGAATTGCAAGTCTTCCTATTCTCTATTAATATATATAAGTGTAGAAATCATAAGATCCATGATTGAATTTTGCGTCATAGAATTTTAGTCTACTAAAATTATTCTCTACCAAGAAGAAGAAGGCTCAACTAGATTTTTAATTGGTAGCACCTTTGAATATTTAGTCTTCTTCGAATCCTCAAGCACTTGTGTGGGTCATTGATAGAGGAGTTCAACCTTTGCACACTAGGTTTTGTGCAAAAGTTGTGGATCAATGTTACGCATAAAAGAAGCACGCTTCTTTGATGTATTAATCTTAACATTCCTTAATTGTCAATAAATTTATAAATATCTTAGATGGGTTTAAAGAGGAAATTTTTAAAATTTTCGCTTCTATTCTGCCCTCTTAAACTCAACAATTAACTACTACAAATAAATCTTGAATAGGACTTAGTATCTTATTCATTAGGAATTGAATATTCTAATTCTACACTACTTATTTATATATATACCCTTTGTCTTCTCTCCCTATTCTACCCGTCTCTGTTTGCATTATTAATCTTAGCGTTTTCATTGCTTTTAGCAATCCCTTATTTCTTTTTTGTTTTATATGTTAGGTTGCAATAGAACTTAATTCTCAAACCATCATTAAGTTGATAAAAGGACAATCTAATCCTAGCATCATATTGTGTGTCCATCATCTATAGAACGCAGTTGCTCCAAGGAAAGATTAGTTAATCAATCCTTTTCAATTCGTATCCTTAAATCTTTTTTCATATCTACTATTTGAACTTTTTTAATAAATTATAAAATATAAAACTAGTAATTAAAAAAAGAATAATTAATATGTATTTTTATTTAATTATTAATACAAATTTGTAATTAATAAACACTCAACCAAATCCAATACAAACGAAGTGCGTTAAGTGTACCTTGAGGTCTTGGTATTCTTAATATTTACAAAAATAATTATCATTAATCTTTTTATAAATCTTATCATTAAATTTAAAACAGAATGTTGACATAACAATTAGTAACATTTTAAGGCTAATTTATTAAATATAAAAACCATCTTCTAATTTCTAATATTTTTTGCCAAAAATTTGGTAAAAAAATCTCTTATGTTACTCTTCTCTGCCTTGTCCTTTCTTCTTCTCTTTTCTTAGAAAAACTTTAGATCATCAACTTTGCAGTATCTAAAATTAATCTAAAATATTTATTTTAATTACTATTATTTATTTTTTAAGTCAAATATTAAAACTTTATCTCTCTCTAACTCATAACTTTTTTATTGAATAAAAAATTTTTATTTTATTTTTTCATTTACTATACCAATTATTGATATATTTCTAAATTTATTACATATTTTCTAGATGTATTTATTCTACACTTATTTTTCTCATAAATACAACTAGATATTTATACACTGATCTTCAAAAATTCCAAATGACAAAATATTTCACATTAAGCATGCCCCACTTTGATTTTAGGCACAAATTTACTACTTTAAAACTGTGTTACTCCCTCTAGTCCTTTTTAATTGTTACACTTTATCAACTTTATATTAAGGAAAGTGATTGGTATATATTCGACCTAATATATTTTTTGATATTAATTCCAGTCCAGCAATTAAAATGCATTCCCTCCATTTATTTTTAGTAGATTTAGTTTGACTTTTTAATTTTTTAAACATGAATTTTAGTTAAAAATTTAACAATTTATAAGATCAATAATTTAAATTTTTTTTCTCAATATGTAATTATTGTTGAATATTTTTATTTAATTAATTTTTTTAATTATCATTTATATAATATATTAAAATTTCATCGACAATTCATATTTGAAAACTCAAAAAGTCAAATTAAAACTTTTAAAAATAAACAAAAAAGTAATATAATTAAGTACAACCAATTCAATTAATTTTTATGTCTTATACATATGATTTTAGTTTTTTTTATTTTAGATATAAAATAACAATTTTATAATTAATATATTATATTAAAATACCTATCCATTATTGTTCAAAACTTTATGCAAAAGTCAAAATACCGCAACTGAAACGGACACGAGGTAGTAATACTTTATATACAAGTTTGCTTTTAAGGCGTTGACAAACTCGACCCCTCAACCAAATCTTTGCTCCGCCCTTGCCCTCCCCATAAACATTCCACAACCATGTTAGGCCCATTACGACTTAACCACAGCAACCCTCCACTGCTAACTTGCCGAGTAAAAGTGTAAATAAGGATTTTAACTTTGTAAATTTTTTTATTTAAGAATGTTAACTTTATTAGTTTCTAAATAAGGATGTCAACTTTTAATTTTTTTCTAAATAAAGATGTCAATTTTCAATTTTTTTTTAAATAAAGATGTTAATTTTGTCAATTTCTAAATAAGGATATTAACTTTCAACATTTTCTATTTAAGGATGTCAACTTTCAACTTTTTCTATTTAAGGATTAATTGAATAGTGATGCTAAGGTGGTTAACATATTTTTAGGTTAAATATCTAAATTGGTCCCTCAACTTTTATTTTTGAACCAATTCATCCTTAAACTTCAGAAAGTACCAAAAATGTCCTTCAACTTCAATTTTTAATTTCATATTTCCGTCTGTTAAATTTTGATGTAGCTAATTTTTTCGCCTAGTGATTGACTGTTTTACATTTTCAATATTAGGTGGAAAATCCATCATGTAAAAGATGATTATGTGGATTTTTTTAATTTTAAATAATTTATAAACTACTTTAATTCTTAATTTTACTTTATTTATATTTAAAAATTAAAACAATTAATATATTTTCCCATTTAATTAATTTTTCCATGAATTAGGAAATAATTTTATTAATTGAAAATTGAAGTTGAAGGATGTTTTTGGTACTTTCTGAAGTTCAAGGGTGAATTGGTTCAAAAATAAAAGTTGAGGGACCAATTCAAGTATTTAACCTTAAAAATATATTAGCCACGTCAGTATCACTATTCAATTAATTCTTAAATAAAAAAAGTTGAAAGTTGACATCCTTAAATAGAAAAAGTTGAAAGTTGACATCCTTAAATAGAAAATGTTGAAAGTTAACATTTTTATTTAAAAACTGATAAGGTTAACATCCTTATTTAGAAAAAATTAAAAATTAACATTCTGATTTAAAAACTAAAAAAATTAATATTTTTAAATAAAAAAAAATTGAAATCCTTATTTGCACCTTTCCTCCTTACTTGCCTCCTCCAAGCAACAATCGCCACACATCGCACAAGCCTCCATGAGCCACCTGTCCACGCCACCAACTTCTACGTACTCGAGTTATTGTTCCTTCTCTACCGCACAAGCCTCCAGCGCTCAACCAAGACCAGGAAAGGAACGTCGTAGAGCTTCACCCTTGTGCCCTCGGACAACAGTATCAGCACAGCACACCTAACCTTCCCCTGGTTGGATCTAACAGTACTAATAATCTAATATCTTGTTTGGATTTTAATTAGAAGCCGTTTAGGATAAGTTTGAGATTGCAGTAGAGATTTTTTTTTGTGTATTTATACAGTATTTTTTTTTTGTATAGAAAATAGAGAATTATATTAAGTATAAAGAGTATACAGATGAATCTCTAGCAAGGCATTATAGCCAAATTAAGGACAGAAGCGTAACCCACAGCATTAGTAATAGATTTAAACTGTGCCCATGACATATATGGACAATTAAGCAAAGAGGGCCATCTGTGACTAAGGATTGTAGCTACAATCACTGTAAGGGCAAAAATAGGGCTACAAAAGTAGAAAAGGAGGTCGCTATGAGTGTCTGAAACTACTAGACGTCCCACCTATTTAGCCAGCTTCATGGGGAGAGTAGGGAAAATTCGACATCAGCAGTCCCCAACCCACTATATGTCGTCCCTAAAACAGTTTCAATTAACAGGAGGGAACTAAAGCCTCTCCATACAAACCCAGGCACCTCCCTCGTCGCCATGGGCTCCCAACCATGATCCGAACTATTCCAATCCTTTGCAAGCCTTTGTTGCCAAATTTCAATAAGGGAACTAGAGCCCCTTTTAAGACTGAAGTGGCATTCTCCCCTTGCAGAACACCTCCGACGTCTCCAATCAACCTCCACCGGCATTCTCCCCTTTTGGCCCCTCCCGCAGAAATCAACTGGAATTTGAGAAAGCCTCTCTCCTTTGCCGATTTGCTAAAAAAATCCTTGAAATCGCCTAAACGCCGTCGAGGCATAGGAGAAACCATCTCTGGTTGGCTAGAATACCCTGTTGATGGCCGTTGACAACCACCTGGATCTACAATTACAACATCGATGTGAGATGGTTTCTCTATGCACAATTGCCTGCAGAACAGCAAAACCAGCCCTAGATCTATCAATGGCGAGAAAGAGGAAACTTGAAGATTACTCTCCTCTCTCCAAAGCAGAGTCAAGCTGCCCCTTCTCTTGGCACAATTGCACACAGAAACGTGATCCAACCCTAGATCTATTCAAAACAAATTCATCTCCATCCCCGATTGGTTTGTTGCAGGGAGCAGGGTAGTGTTTGGCATATGTTGGAGGCCAAATTGGTTTGACTCAAGGACCGAGTAAACCTCTCCAAAAGTGTGATAATTCCAAGCCAATATACGCGAAAGAGCCATGGAAAGAAAACAAGAAGAAAACAGGGGGAAAGCCCTGAAGAAACAGGGAGAGGCGCCTAGGCGAGGGTCTCGCACGCCGAGAGGAAACCCTAGCGGCGGCGAGAGAGATTGTAATTTTTTTAATTTTTATGTATTATTTATACGGTATTTTTAAATATGTGTATCTGGTAACAATTTTTAGATTATTTTTTTTAAAACTGCAAAAAATCATAGTAAATTTATAATAATTATATATATAAAATCAAAAATCTTATTTTAGAGTTTTCTAACTCTAACTTTTATGGAACATATTTAATATTTAATATAATTATAAAATTATCCATTAAAATCTAATTTTGTATAAATTAATTATATCATAATTTATAATATTTTAATAATAATAACAAATTTAAAAAATCTATATTATTAAAAAAATAATAAATATTATCTATTTTAATAATTATAAATCTTACAATATTTTAAAATTTTTAATTAATAATTAATAAAATCTATCGTATTTCATT